CTCTCTCTCTCTCTCTCTGTCTCTCTCTCCGTCTCTCTCTCTTTCTATCTCTCCCCCTCTATCAGACTGTCTGTTTGTCTGTCTGCTTGTCTGCCTGTCATCCTGTCTTTCTGTCTGTCTCTTCCTATTGTTTGGTCCTAGTGGTTCTTTTACGTTACTCCAAAGTTGAGGGAACTAACACGTGAAAACCACACAGTAAATTATAATCACAGCTGGTTTGATTGATCCCCGCAAAAACAGGAAACATAAATACTAGGATTTTAAAATGAAAGATAAATCGTTCGTAATGAAATATAGTAGAATATTCCTATTTGTATTTTAACACACATTTTCTTAACATAGGCTGAATGATTTGAGGGCGTCACTGATTAGTCTTACTTGTTCACTTCCCCTCTTTGATTGGTCCTACTTTTTCACATCCCTTCTGTAGTTTCTGTCTACACGTCTTACGTCTTTTCAGCTCTAAGTAACCATTATTGAGTCGACGTCCTTCTGTTTAAGGTAAAGAACCTAACTTATTACCTAGCGGTGGTGGTACTAGGTGTGAAACTGCGAGGGGGAATCAAAAAGTAATACTAGTTGTTTGTTGTTTTGCACAATTTTGTATCAAATTTAATAAAATTCAGCTCACAAGTGCTTGCTCATATACTTTTGAACTCAAATTATTATAATTTAAGATTCTTTAATTTTGGACCGGAAGACCTCACTTCAAAATGGCTACCCTCTTGGAGGTCTGTCAGAGGAAAAGAGCGGTGATTGAATTTCTTGTTCCAGAAGGAGAATGCACAGATAACATCCAAAAGAGACTTCAAAATGTTTACAAGGACCAAGCTCTAATTTTGGAACTGTATTTAGGTGGCTTAGAGGTCTGAGCTATGGACCGGAAGAAGAGAAAGAAGAAACCATAAAAAATGCTTGTCAGACGAGCATCGCCCCAAGGAGTCCGCCGGAAAAAAATGATGTCAGTCTTGTTTTGGAGCGTTGGTAGCGTTCTCCTCACAGATTTTTAAAAAATTACCAGAGGAGCAACTGTCAATTCTGAACCCTACATTGAAACACTGAAACCACTGAAAGCGAGAATTCGACAAGTGAGACCAAATTTGAACATGGAAAGAGTGTTACTTTCACCTTGACAATGCCCGCCTGCATTCGAGTACCAGAAAAGTGAGACAACCACCCCGTTTATTTGGAAAATACTGCCACACAAAACTTATTCTCCTGATTTTGCTCCATCAGACTTCCACCTTTTTTTAGTCCTGGAAAAAAACCAATTGAGAGGTCAATACTATGGAAACGATGGCGAAATTAACATTGTTGTACCTCTACGACCTGCTCAGTTTTACGCAGGTGGCATATGTGGACTTAGTAAAAGGTGGGCAGTGGCTATTGATCAAAATGGAAACTATGTTGAGAAATAAAAATCTGATCCTCAGATGCTCCCCTTCAATTTGAGGTATGATAGTTGCAAGTGTGTTTTTGTCTTCTTAGAGTTATAAACGAACTTGCATTACTTTTTGACTCACCCTGGTAAATAGCATTATTATGTGTTAAACTCCTTGGCTGTAACAGTTATTTACCATTGCTTCACAAAACTGATTCGTACTTTTAAAAATTCTATTATGTTTATGTCAATTATGACTCTACCTGAAAACAGACAGATGTTTATATTACCCACATTACTTTAAATTACAAAGTTCTAATCTGCCCAGTAACTTGTAAAGACGTAAAATGTTGACCTTCTCAACAATTCAAGCTTTTTCAAATGCAATTTTTTGAATATCTTGATAACGTCTCTAAATAACAATGCAATTTTGATAGAGCAAATAAAACGTTTGGTTTCTGACCTCACGGTCTTGGTAACTCCAAACGGCCAAAAATGTAACTTAGAACTTTGTGATTCTAAGGTAGAGATTTATCTGTTTTGCTCCTTACTCAACAACAACAATAAAAAAAACCCCACAATGTCTTTTGATAATCTTAGCCTTTTTGACCGAGGGAGAGAGAGAGAGAGAGAGAGAGGGGGGGAAGGGAGGGGGGGGGGGGGGGGCAAAGGCGTGAGATTCGTTAATGAAATTGTCATAAAAGACTTGATTATTATTGTCACCTACTTTTTGCCGTCATTATCATAACCATCCACGCTACCGTTAAGCCTGTTCTTTCTATCCAGTGGTATACTAGTGATCTGTTGGCTTACAGTTCTACTTAACACTTACAAGTAAGAAACCCAGTCTTGTGAAACAATCAATCAAACTATCAAACTAAGCGTGGGAACGTTTGTGCTAGGTGCCACCCATCCCTCCCCTCCAACGCTACGCCCAACAGATTTACGCACAGTGTGTGAACTAGGATCAAATATTCATAGTAATCATAGTTTTAGCAGATGTCTCTCTACTCTAAAGAAAGACAAAAAGAAAAAAAATCGAGGCTAAATTTTTTGGGGTTATCTTTACAGACAGCGGAACGTGAAGTCAACAAAAGATTTAAAGAGACGAGGTGAAACTAGGCAGGTGTTTCAATTTATAACAGAAGTGTCGGAAAAGAGGACATGTGTCCTCCAAACCACGAACCACTACATTATAAAACCTGTCTCCCATGCACATCTCACAAAGACGAACATCCCTCAGCAGGTAAGCACTTCTCATTGTTCGTGCTTATCTGACATTGTTTGGGGTAAAATCAGTTACTATACATGTAACATACGCTCAAATACATTCTAACTTCTGATCAAAGCATTATGCCATTTCTATTGCAATGCTTTTCGTAAACGTAATTAAAGCATAAACTCATTTACAATAGTTTAGTATATTTCATACTTACTTACTTTTTTCTTCCGCTTGTACCCTGGGGTGTCGCGGGGAGACACAGGTGTCTGTCTGCAGCAAGTCGTGTGGCCTGTAGGAGGGACATCCCATGATCTTTAAGGGTGTCTGCCACAGATTCACTCCATCGTCGCCTTGGTCTTCCTCTGGCTCTCCATCCAGAATATTTAATGTTGTATGCTCTCAGAGCTGGATGGTTTGAGGGCATCCGCGTGAAGTGTCCGAACCACTTGACCCTTTGTTTTTCAATGTGTGGTAGGACTGGTGTTGCTCCCACGGTGTCCCTAATGACTTCATTTTTAATTTTGTCTCTTCTTGTTTTGTTGACCGCTCTTCTTAAGCATTTCATCTCGCATGTGACCAGTTTCCTCTCTAGGGCTTTTGTTAGAGTCCATGTCTGGCACTGATATATGAGCGTTGGAAGGAAAATGGCGTTGATGAGCTTCGCCTTGGTGCTCATGGGGATATTGGGATGTTTCAGGAGAGGGCCCAGTTGGTAGTATATTTCATATAAATTCTAAAACCTGATCCGGACTTGACATTTCTAATTCATCAGGTCTATACTTTGGTAAATATTGTCCTTTAGTACTTTATATGAAGTGTGGGTGATGGGACAGTTTCTGAAATGCGTAGGATTTACATGCGTTGGAGCAAGCTTATTGAAAAATGTACATTTGAAGGACTGGAAACATTGAATTAGCCTTTGAAGTCTGACACCACTTTTGGTGAAAACGAAGCTTTTTCTGTAATGGTGCAATGAAATGCACACAAAGATACACTGAGTACACGATGGTCATGTCAGTAAAGAGGGTAAACCATTTTGACCCCACCTTGATATGAACTCAGAATAAATCATATTGTTATAAACAAGAAAGCCAAGGACAGCGACAATAGAAGAGGACGGTAGGGAGAAAAATAACCTTCTTCATTTGAGTCCAGGGGAAGGTAAGCACTGAGATTTGTTAACAAACACAAACTCTCTCTCTCTCCCTCTCTCTCTCTCTCTCTCTCTCTCTCTCTCTCTCTCTCTCACACACACACACACTCTCTCTCTCTCTCTCTCTCTCTCTCTCTCTCTCTCTCTCACACACACACACACACACACACAAACACAAACACACACACACTCACACACACACACACACACACACACACACACACACACACACATTAAGATCATATCGTCATTTGATGGTGAGTTTTTCCAGACTAAGACATGTGCATTTATATGAGGGCAAAAGGGGTGATTTTGGCGTCGGTAGTCAAGTCTTCGTCATAAGGCTACTTGACTCGGTATCGTAAGATTGCGGGTTCGAAGTTCGAGGCTCAGCTTTGGAAAGGCACTTTACAGGAATTTTTTCATTTGGCTCGGATTTTTTTGAGTTGGGGCTTATATTCGGCGGCTTTAAACCCACACAATTTTATTTTGAAAAAAAAGTGTTTATGAATACAGCTCCTTAATGCATGATTGCAAAATGGGAAGTCTGGGTAATGGAAATGTTAGTCTAAGGTGTTCGAACCTGTTTTAGCTATAATCTTTTTTAGTCAACAAAACAAATACCCGGTTCAACCTCGACGCTTTTTCGTTGATACACCCAGAACGAAGCTTGTGAACTTCCGTTCCAAATTGACTTAGAGAGACAGAGAGTTTCAGATCACGGCTAGCACAAAGAGAAAGCGCTGTTTCAGTATTTTCAAAAAAGCCTTCCATCATTAAATAACAGCTTAATTTTTGTAATTCATCTACTCCTTTTCTGCTTTCTCCCAGACATGACTGCTTTGAGAAGAGGCTTTCTGTTCCTCCTATGGGCACTGTGTCTAGCCATCACTTTAATTCCAAGCCATGCTGAAGTGATCCACGAATTTGTCACCATCGACTATGAGTGGCCAAACGCCACTTTTCGTAATCAGAGCTTGGCTAATGGAGACTTCGACCCGAAAGCTGGGGTGTTGTCCGGTGTTCAGGTAAGACGGAGGATTTTTACTACCTGTTTACTCATCATATGTTACAAATTTCACTTATGATGGAGGTCGTCACCTTCCTATCAAGACTGCAAGTCTACCACCTGGAGTGGATATCCAGTCACATTATCAAGACTGCTTAATTGCTAAAAAGAATTCTTTGTTATAAAAGTAAAGAGCTACAGTGTTTATATCTGCATTTTACATCTACAGCCCTACACCAAATTCAACGGTTATTCTTGGTACCATGCACTCTTCGTAACTGTCCCACGCACTCAGGCGGTGAAAGGAATCCCATCGGGCCTCAACACAATCGTCAAGGACGCTAATGGCAAATCAGTTCTTCGACCATATCCCAACTGGGACGCTCAGAAAATTGGAGACTGCAGCGCTCTACAGCTCCCCATGAGCACGGCTATAGACCCGAACACTGGATTACTTTACGTGATTGACATTGGTCGTGTTGGAATTTCGTCCCCAAATCCTGCCAATCTCTGTCCAGCTAAACTAGTCGTGTACGATATAGTTCAAGGTGGTTCCTCCACTGTATTGAGCTACGAGTTCCCAGATTCTGTAGTCTCGAGAACAACCAATTACCTCAACGATATCGTACTTGACTACGTAAATCCAGAAGGGACAGGTGGAGTGAAGTATGCCTACATGACCGACACACTGACGAGGTCAATCGTCGTCTATGACTTCGCCCACAACAAGTCGTGGGCTTACAAGGTTTGTTCTCGCTATTTAAAACAATATGGCATTCTTTACTGACATCATTATCACTATCTATTTCTACATTTTAGTCTACCTTTTTCTTCATCTCTGTCGTTTTTATACTTTTTATGCAATCGTCATAATTATCGTCATTATTCTTTTTTAAAAAAAAATTCGATTTTAGAAATGGAAAACATAAACAGCGAAAGATCTTGTCAGTATGTTAATGTTTTAGCGCCTATAAATGGCGCTTGCACTGTATGCTTTCCTGGAAGTAGAGATGGTTTCGGAATGCTCTCAGATCTGCTGGGGTAATAGTATAGATTGTAAAGCGCATAGAGCTTGCTGTTAAGCCGGGATTTGCGCTATACTAATACTATCTATTATTAAAAGGTTGCTTTTAGTCAAACGATCGTACAGTTAACATAATACCAGGCCAAGGGAAGAGAACGAGAGGTGTTGGTTGTCTTCTAGGTATTGATGTCAAGGCTGTCCACAGTTTTGTCTATCAACATCAAACTAAATAGACCTGTTTATGTGTCACTTTTCTGAGCCCCGGTCGGCTACTAAATAATCTAGACAACTTGCAAAATTTCAAAACTGATTCGGTCCTCGGTTCACACCATTTTCCTCGTTTGGTATGATTGGAAGGTTTCTCCATTGCCTACTTTACTCAAACCTACCAGGACCCTGTCAGCATGGGTACCGACGATGACAAAAACATCACCATCCACGGCATTACATACCCATTGGACATCGGAGTCAATGGAATCGCAATGTCCCCCACCTTCAACTACCTCTACTACTCCGCTCTCGGATCCAAGAGGTTGTATCAGGTGAGATTGGACTCTAGCAGACTCGTGACTGCAAACACGTACGCGTACTCACACAACACACACACACATGTGTGTGTGTGTGTGTGTGTGTGTATGTGTGTGTGTATGTGTGTGTGTGTGTTTGTGTGCGAACACACGTACCCAATAATCCACCCAATCACCCACTCACACGCCCGTACATTTGCACACACACACACACATACACACACACACATACCCACACACACACACAAACATTTATGTATACATACTATGAATAGAAAATATTAATATATACGCACATTATCTATCTATCTATCTATCTATCTATACACACACAAACACACACATGTGAGTGTGTGTGTGTGTATGTGTGTGTATATATATGTGTGTGTGTGTGTGTGTGTGTGTGTGTGTGTGTGTGTGTGTGTGTGTGTGTGTGCGCGTGCGCATAATATGTATAATAAACATCATATAAATTATGTAATGTATCTTCTGGACAGTAGATTCCTTGTTCCGCAAGCTTTCGCCTGACATCACTTAAACATGTTTTTCCTCTGACCATGTCTACCACAGGTTCCCACGTGGGTTCTGAGAACGCCAGGCAATGACTTTGTCAGTAACACACGCCTTGTGGGCAGCAAGAAGTCCCAGGGTGACGGGATGGTCTTTGGGCACAAGGGACTTTACTTCGGAGCTTTGGAATATGACGCTGTATACAAGTGAGTTGAGAAAGGTTTTTTGGGTCCACGAGTTTTCTTTTTTTCTGTCGTTGGTGTTTAATGTCATTCTGCACTCAAGAGAGTTAATTTCGAAGGGGTAGCTTTCAGTCTTTCTTCTAGACATTGAACTGAGAGGAAAGAATCTTAAAGAGAGAGAGAGAGAGAGAGAGAGAGAGAGAGATAGAGAGAGAGAGTGAAAGAGAGACAGGGAGAGACAGAGAGAGACACACACAGAGCGAGAGAGAGATAGAGAGAGAGAGAGAGAGAGAGAGAGAGAGAGAGAGAGAGAGAGAGAGAGAGAGAGAGAGAGAGAGAGAGTTGAGAGTTAAACACAAATTCTGATACTGCGACCTTTTTAACATACATTTGATAGTGGAAGCGCCGCATTAATGGTCAACTCGGTTGAGACGAAACAGAAACACATGATCTAAACTCGCTAGAGGGAGGTAGAGGGATTCCCGCCACAGACACCAGTAACATTGAGTGTCAAATGTACGTACCAGCGTGCTCGCCACCGAGTAAAGCATAGCTAGGGGGACTTGCAAAGAATCATGCCAAGGATAGCAATGGACGGAAGAGGTTGACGTGTTGAAGCTGGACAATTCTCCTAGTCATGTACAACTAATCAGCTCTTTCAAATTGTTTTGTTCTGGCTTGTTTGGTTGTTTGTTTGTTTCTTTTAAAGGCACCACGTCCAATTTAGCATCTGTGTCCGATGTGACCGAGTGAAGAGAGGAAAACTGTTCACCCATAGTCGCCCAAGTTCACCAGATACCCAAAATGAGCAGATGGCATGTTCATGCGACAGAGAAAAGACTTAAAATCGACAGGCTCGAACTTTGACACCCCACCCCCCCCTAAAAAAAAAAAAGAAACAAAAATCTCCTTTGACATCAAAAACCTAGGCCGCTTTCAAAAACGATAACACTTCCAAGTTAATATTTGAAAAAGTAGGCCGAAAACAAACGACAGTAAACAGTCAGCCAATGGACCGTAGTTCCCCAACAAACAAAATAGGAGGGGAAAAAAGAGAAAATCGAAACGAAATGAGTAAAAATGAAACCAGAACTCGCACGAAGAACAACAAAAAAATGAAAGTTGGACCACGACATAAAGAGCATGAACATTGCGTTGCTCCGCATGCACCGCGCCGAGCACTTATGCAAATGGGGCCTCGGTTTTTTGTGATTGTGGCTGTTGTGGGGCTCCTCTCTGACCACGGCATCAAGACACAAACGGAAATTTTGTTTATAAAGAGGAAAGAAATGGAGAGCCAGTGATAAAAAAAAGATTGAAAAAAGCTGTGAACGAAGGCAGAAAGATAAAAACAAATTTAAAAAG